TACCGACTTCCGTAATAGACTGCAAGCTCCATGAGACCAAGGACCACTATTATTACAGTTTCTCTAGTGCCTAGGACACAATCCACCACCACCACTAGTTGCTGTTGCATCAACGCCAACTCACGGCATCCTCCTGTGTATTAGAGAAGAACTATACTCCATAGCATTTTCAGCAGCTAATTTTAGTTCCAAGATGTCTCTGGTCCAATCTTTTAGATTCACCAGAGCTGAGGAAAAAGATGCCAGCATTAGATTGATTCAGCAGGAAGTGTCAGAACTACCAACAGTGAAACTGCACTGATGGTGTGCATGGCTGATTCTCTCAGTGACTCGAGTTTATATTCCAGACACAGGAAGTTAAAAATCTGCAGCAGCCCCTTTTAGCTACTGCCCAAGGGCACCCTGACCAGCTGCTTCCTCCTCCCAGTGCTGGCACCCACCCCTGAAGACCTACAGGCACTGCTTGGGTGGGGCCTGAAGCTTGTCAAAGTACATCGCAGGAGAGCAAGACCACTGTTGAAACAGGTGCACAGTGTGCTTTTGTCTGAGTGGCAGCATCTTAAATTCCCACATTCCCAGGCAAAAAATGTCAGAAAGAACCCTTTATTAAAAGCATAGTAAGGATCAGTGGCCTCAAACAGAATCTGCCCCTAAAAATATGTTCGTTCATATAAAATATGACTGATTATTACTTAAAAGTACAGTATTCAGGAAAATCATAAGAGGAAAATAATATGTTATGGTAATGACAATGGTAAACACAAGCTAACCTTCACCAAAAGGAAATTATAAAAACATCAACAGCTCTGCCTAGAGCTATTAAGTAATTAAGGGAGACCTGGTTTGGAGGGCAAAAAGGTACCTTGCAAGAAGTGCGGAGACACACACTAAATTCAAAAAGCCATTCTGTTCCCTCTCTAGTGGATGTATTTCCAAGGGGAAGGTTTGATACAATTGTTTTTGCATTTGACCTGTACCATGCACATTTCTTTGAATATTAGATTTTTATCATACATAGAAATTTAAAGATTTATTGCATCTTAAAGGAGCTCAGGTGCCATAGTGCCTAAGGCATTTGACTGCTAACCAGAGGGCTGGCAGTTCAAATTCAACAGCCACTCCTTGGAAGGATGGTCGGGCAGTCTACTTCGGTAGTGATACCACCTCACAAACCCAAGGAGGGGTCACTATGGGTCAGATCCAACTCGATGGCAGTGTGTTTCATCTCGTTATTACATCTTGAAGCTAACCTTTTCCTCAAGGTACCCATTTTTAATTATATATACTCAGAGGGAAAATGACAATTCAATAAGTAGCAATGTACACAGGTTTGGTCTAGAGTTAAGACTTGTTTTAGCTGCATTCAAGTAGCACCCACCCCCACTCCAACCCCTGCCACTCATGGTGACCCTATGGGATCAAACCTTTCTGCTCTATAGAGGGTATTCACTAGCTGATTTCTCAAAAGTAGATCGCAAGGGCTTTCTATGACAGTTCAAATCCTGGCTCAGGTTTATATCAGCTATGTTTAAATCACTTAATCTGAGACTGTTTCCTTAACTGTAACAAAAATATTGCATTTTACCTACAATACAGGAGTGTGGTGGGTATTTAACAAGATCATTCATGAAAATCACTTAGATGCCTAGCACATAGTAAGCACTCACAACTGTTAGCCATTATTACTACTCTTCAAAGTAAAATTCCTTTAGTTAGGATGAATACTTTGTATGGCACACAGCACATGTAGTGTCCTCATTGAACTAAAGTAAATTTTTTGACCCATGCTGTTAATTTTCTAATCCACCTTTAACCAATACTTAACCATAGTTAAGTTACTTAGTGATTCCATTCTGTTCCTTGCAGTCCTCTTTTTACTGTTCCTAGTTTGGAAGTGAATGTCACAGAGCAGAGAAAACTGTTTCAGTGGGTTTATTATGGAGGGTGCAGAGAAATATAGCAAGGTCTCCAAAAACGTTTTGCTGAACCTGTGGTTTGTAAACCATAAAGCACTCATCTAAGTCACCGGTATGGGAATCAGCAGGACTTGTGGCACTTGTCACAAACCCAATGATTCTTTCATTACAACAGAGCTCCTATAAATGAATGATTCTTGGCCATTATTCACAAGGAAGAAAATGTCAACCTCATTTTACCTGTCTTGCCAATGATTTCCACTAACTTTCCCAGAATAACTGCTCCTGGCTCTAGTCATTAATTAGCTCTGATGCACCTCCAGCAGCTGGGTATAGATTTCTGAAGAATGTGAATGGTTAACATGTCTGAGTTCTAGGATGAATATTAGTTTCCAAGTGATTCCTTTCTTCCCTGCTAGATTTTAAGCTTCAGAAAAAATAGGCCATCTCCTTTGTAAATAACGTAGTGCTTGGGTTCAATGACTGCTCTGTCCAGTAAGTGAGACTCAGAAGGATTCTGATGGAGACAGCAGCACAAGTATGGACCTTTGCATCAGGCTTCAGGAACAGCAAGACAGCTGATAGAAACATCTCCAGCACCAAGTCCACTAAAGCATTTGATTGCTGACCAGAAGGCTGGCTGTTCAAACCCACCGGCCACTCCTCGCAAGGAAGATTGGGCAATCTACTTCGGTAGAGATACTGCCTCAGAAATGTAAGAAGAGGTTATGAGTCGGAACTGGCTCAACAGCAGCAAGTTTGGTTTAGTTTAGTCTACCTTATGAAAAATACTCAAATCAAACCTCAGGAACAGCTAGCTCCCCTAACCATAGCTAGTTCACTTTACAGAGAGTTTATGGCAATAACAATCTGATAGCTTAAAGTTCAGTGCTTCTAACGTATGTGGTTTAAATCATTTGTATGTAACATCTCACTTAATCCTTAGAATAAGCTGTTAACATAGGTAAAATATTATTCTCATGTTACAGTTAAGGATACCAAGGACACATACCTAGTAAGCGTGAACCAGGACTTGAACTCTGATAGTTCAACTCCAAAAACCTTTGCTCTTAACTATGGGAAATTTATAGCAATGTAGCAATTACCAGAATTGCTTATTTGCATAAAGGGGGGTAAGCAACAATCATACTTGTTCCTAACCATACATAACCCACAAAGAATTTTGCAATTTCAAATCCTACTCATAGGTTTGGTGTCCCAAGCTTTGTGCAGTCTAAGGAGAAAAGAAATTAATCCGAAATAGTGCTAGCACCTAAGGAGCTCACGCCCAAAGGTGAAGACAGTGGATTGAAAAACAATGTGATAAAGGCTCAGCCAACCCAAATAGCTGTTGAAACTTAGAATAGCAAACAAGGTGTTTATGTGTGTTTGAGGGGAGGGACAGGGAGGATACCTTCTTCACTCAACACTTGTTCAATATACAAGGGTGACATGGAATTATTGCTTGGTAAGAAAACTTTAAATTTCCTTTATGGCTTCCATCCTATTGCTCAAATACATAAGACAATCAAAATGCACTGCCTGGCAAGCAGTCCTTACAAATATGCCACTCTCAACATTTCTTGTCCCGTTTTATTTACAAATTAAGTGGCAACCAAGTCACACTGCCAACACTGTTACCAGCTCACAGTGAGAATTTCACAGTTTTCACTAATTATGGAGAGACACTGAAGTTTGGTAATGCTAAACACTCGTACATAACTAAAGTGTGTTATTTCTTTAAACTGTAGAATAAAAGTTTCCTCCCACAAACAAAAGTCCCAACTATATCACACTGATTTAATTCAACTCTAAATTAGCGGTTACATAAAATGGCTAATTACGTCTCCCTCTCTTCAAGCAGTTCCTGCCATCTCACTTAAAGAGCTGAGAGGAGTGGTATAATCAAACAACCCACCCACTGTAAGCAGAACAGTAATTAGCGTTGTTGATTGGTGACGCAAGTTATAGTATTTTTTCAGTAACCCTGTAAAATTTATAATCATATCAGTGAAAATGCCAATTTCTTTACAGCTTGCTAGCTTTCGGAATAAGTGTCTAAAAATACATGCCTTACCAACCACAGACCCGACAAGGGTTTTAACAAAACGCACGTGGCCAGCTTCACAATCATCGTAAAAATGCGCTCTAACGATTTGATTCCGAAAGGTCACTGCCTTGAAAACCCTACGGAGCAATACTACTCTGCACACATGGGGTCGTCAGAAGTCAGAATCAACTGGACAGCTACTAACAACAAACAACGGCAAAACACCTCTTAACGAGCAGCTAAACCAGCTCACGCTACCTTCGCCGCGAGGGCTTGATACCTGGTTTGGAGAAGTGAAAACTAAGTAACACACTTCCCATTCCCAGCTTCAAGTCTCACCAGCTCCTCACCGAGCCGCCAGGCCGCGGCTCCGCCCCACTCCTACCTCTACCAACAACGCGTTTAAATTTTTATAAAGCTTCACACTTCTCAGGGCGCACTGCTCCGGGCAGTTCAAAGACTGTAGGAGGAAATGAGGTCCTGCCTACGGTTAAGGCTGCCAGGCGAAGTGAAGTTTCTTCAAACAGGGACATCTCCGGACAGACTTGCCAGACGCCTTCAGCTTCACTACGGCGTTTTTGAAAGTAAACTCCTACCTGCCTGTTGCGCTCTCCGATGCGCAACCGGACTCACCCCCCAGGTTTCAGAGCCGGCTCAATTTGGTAAACGAGGTGTGAACACAGGCCAGCTCTGTCTCGGTTTCTGGCGAAGGGCCAGCAGCCCCCGGGCGCTGGCGGTTAACCCGGGTCGAGCCCCGCAGCGGGGTGGGGACTACGGTGCGCGCCCTGCTCCGGGGAAGCGCAGGGACTGCCCGACCCTCACCCCCCAGCAGCCGATAAAGGCGCCCCGTGCCCCTCCACTAATGCTCCGCCACTCCCTGCCCGCCGACCGCCGCGCACCCGGCGCCCCAGAACGCGCACGCCCAAGGGGCGCACCCCAAAGTCTAGCCGAGGAGAAGGGGTCGTCCGAGTTGTAGAGAGGGAATCATGGGGCCCAAGGAAGTGGGGTAAAGCAGAAAGCGCGGGGCAGGAGCATCACGCCGAGATGGGAGAGGAGTGGGGTCCCGAGAAGCGCGAGATGGGGCGCGGTCTGCAGGAGGCAAAGCCGCTCCTGGCCAGGAACACGAGAGCCGTGAACCTAGGATCTGAATCTGAGGGGGTGCGGAAGGAGGGCGTAGGGGCACGCGGGGTGCGGGTGGGAGCGTCTCCCTGCGGAAGGTCTGCACCCCGCGCCCGCCGCGCCCAGCCTATCGCGGGATTCACCTCTGCGCCGGCCGTGCAGGCTCCGCGGCCCGGGGTCTCGGCTCACAGCGGCCCCGGCTCTGCGGCCTGCGCTGGGCTCCGGTAGAGGCAGAGCCCCGCCGCCGCCGCTGCTGCACTGCTGCTTTCCGCTTCCTGTCCCGGCGCCGCCCCGCAGCTCCAGCCCAGCCCTGAGAGCCCGGCGCGGCCGCGAGCCAAGAGCAGCGAGCGCTGCCGGCCACGCCGCCCGCCCGGACCACCTGCAGCGGAGGGCGGGGCCCGGCCAGCTTGTCCCCTGCACCATCCACCTCCCATTCCCTCTCCCGCCCGGGAACACGCGCGCGCGCGCACACACACACACACACACACAGAGATGCGCGCAAATTCACAGTCACATACACACAGGACCCAGGGGCTAACCCTCCCACCCCCATACACAGATACACACACATTCACCCTCATACACACACTCACACCTAGTAATGACCCTTTCCTGGCAGACACTCACACAGATACACACAAACACACTCATATAATAAACAAATGGCCCAGGGATTGACTCCCCTACTCAGCACCCCAGCACACTGCACCCTCAAGCTCATCCACATATTCATTTTCACACCCATAGATGCGCATGCACCCTCACACTCATATACACTCACACATATGGCTCAGGAACCTCTCTTGGTGCCCTAACACACCCAGATGTGCGTTCACACGCATAAACACTCATACATTCATTCACACGTGGCCTATGGACTGATTCCCACCCCCTCCCTATCTCCCTCACTCCCACTCATGCTCAAGCCTCAAACACCTCAAATACACACACTCTCACATGCACACACAACGTATGCCAGCTTGCCCCACCTGCACCACAAAACACACACATTGACACGACCCAGGGTGTTACTCCCACCTCACACTAATACCCTTACATACACTCTCCCTTTTATACACATGCACAGTAACTAACCCTCTCCTGACAGACACACACATACTAAATGCATCGTAACCACATGGCCTACAGATTGAACACACCCCACATCCCAACATACTTGCACCCTCAAGCTCACATACACCTGCATGCACATACACAGACTCCCAAATATGCACAAAAGTCAAACCCACTTGAATTTATCAGAGTCCCAGTACACATATTTGCTTGACCCAGGGACTAATCCACATATACACACTCATATACACATTCCAACAACTGACCCACAAATACCCACCCGTAGCCAATCTCAACCCATATACACACTCACATAGACTCACACAGAGCCCAGTAAATGGCTTCACAAATAACCATATATCCAGACCCCCTACTTGGTCCCACAGCCAGCCCCCACAGCCAACCTTCTTCCTCCTCCTCCCCTGACTGATCCTCTTTAGACACTGCTTCCCTGCTCCAGTCTCCTAGAAACTGCTGGAAGAGCACTTCTCAGAAGTCAGGCAGCCCTGAGTTCGAATCTCTCTGAAAGTAGGTAACCTGGGTTCAAATACTGATTCAACCAGATCTACTTCCCTCCTAAGTCACTGTTCCTGTCTGTAAAGTGGAGAAGATACAATGCCAACCTTGCAGGATTGTGGTGAGAATTATGGAAAGTGGCTGGTGCCTAGTAGGCGCTGAAAAATTGGCAACTATTTTCATGAATATTTGCACTCTTCACACTTGGTTGTCTATTAAGCCTGTTTGAAGAGTCTTGTGTGGGTAAGGTTAGAGATTCATGTACAGAGTCCCATCTGGCTCTGTCCCACAGGCAGAATTTTCCAGAAGTGCTGTATAATGAAGTGCTGAATTTGTCAGTCATCTGCAGGAGTACTGTGGGAGTCAGGCTGGGGGAATGCATCTCTCCAATTAGTCTTAATCAGGGATCTTTGACCCCAAGGAGTCCTCTTCCTCATTTCCTCTACCTACCACTTTCACCCCCACATATTGCACTTCCTTCAAAGGGCATCCATATGTTCAATGTAGCATCTTTACCACCACCACCCCACACACACACACACAAGATCCATTGCCCCTGTGATCTGCGACACAGATCATATGCCCCAACCTCTCAGCTAGTAGTCAATCAACTCAGATCAGTGCTCAGGGGAAGAATGTAAACCATTATAAAAGTGTGTCTCTTTCATTTTTAAAATGTAGAACCTTCAGTGTTAAAACAGGCCAGGGATTTCCAATTCTACTAATGATGCCCCTGAAAAGTCTCAATGTAATGTACAGATCCTTGATGAATTTACGTGGAAAGAGATTCTAATTGAACTTAGTATGTTATGTCTAGTTACCTTACCATGCAGTGCTTTTGTGGGCAAGAGGAGAAGTGCAAGATAAACTCTCATTTTAAAATAATAAATTCACTGTTAAATACCATTCACTATTTGTGTCTATCCAACAATGTTAATTATTCAAGTTTAAAAGGTAAGCGTTGGAAGACATCTCCATGAACTGAGCAATAATCTTTATAACCTGGAGGTATGTCCTGGCCCATATTGCCTATCAAAGAGTGGGTCACCTCATTCTGGGGTTCAGTGAGCACTGAACTTATTTGGCTTATTTGGCTCTGAACTTGAATCCTCCAGTTTAGCCTTGATCAGTATTAAAGGTACTATTGTGGGCTCTATCTGCTACTCCTTTGTCTCTCCTATTTACTCCAAACTCAATTGGGGAAGCAGGATACTATGTATGGGGTCTTCATAAGACTCCAACATGACTGTATGTTACACAAACACATGTATATATTTCTCCCTCCCTGTCCATCCTCACAGCTTTCCCAATCACTGGAAAGCCACCCACTAAAATTCTTCCTATCTACCAAAACTCCACTCAAATGCCATCTCCTATACCAAGCTTTCTCCAGTTTTCCAAAACCAACACTAATCTCTTTGCCCCACTTGAATTCCCATAACACTCTGCATTTTATGCTTTTTCTTACCTTGTGTTAGTTATTTGCATCTTATTGCCTCAATAATGTGGAAGTGCCATGCCTTATTTATCTTCTTTCTATCACAGAACTTTCTAAATAGTAGTTGTTTTTTAAGAATGTCTAGCAAATGGATGAATGACTGTAAAATACTTCTTACCCTTGGGAAGTTAATAATCTTAGTAGACAACAATCTAAATGAAAAGATGTAACCTCTGCACAGAAGATACTTGTAATGGTTAAGGTTATGTATCAGCTTGGCTGGGCCATGATTCCTAGTAGTTTGGCGGTTATGATATAGACATTCCTCATGATGAGATATGATGTAATGTAATCAGCTCCATGATGAGGTCTGCTAAAAACAGGCTGTCAGTTGAAAGAGCATTTCCTTGGGGGTATGGCCTGCTTCCAATATACATGGAGCTTCTGGCAAAGCTTTCTGCCTTTTTGCTCAATCTGGATCCTGCATCTGGCTCATCATCATCTGACCTCCAGTTCTTTGGACTTGAGCCAGCAGCCTGCCATATTACTTACTAATCTTGGAATTGTTGCCTTCACAGCCTGTGAGCCAGCAGCCAGCAGCCAGCAGCTTGCCGTCTTGGATTCATCAGCCTCTACAGCCAGCAGTTGCTGTGTTGCCTGGTGATCTTGGATTCATTGGCCCCTGCAGCTATGTAAATCAGGAGAAGCTGCTAGCCTGAGATCTGACTTATGGACTTGGGACTTGCCAACCTCTACAACCATGTGACCCATTTCCTTGACATCAATGCTCTCTGTCTATCTATCTATCTATCTATCTATCTATCTATCTATCATCTATCTATATATCTATCGTCTATCTATCTCTACCAGTTGTCAGTTTGTCATACTGTGGTGGCTTGCGTGTTTCTATGAGGCTGGAGGTTATGCCACCAGCATTTCAAATACCATCAGGGTCATCCATGATGGACAGGTTTCAGCAGACCTTCCAGACAAAGACAGACTGGAATGAAAGACAGGGGCAACAACTTTGGAAAAAACTGGCCACTGAAAACCTTATGAATAGTGGTAAAACACTCTTTGATATATTGCTGGAAAACTCTATGAATAGCTGTGAAACATTGTCTGGTATAGTGCTGGAAGATAAGCCTCCATGGTTAGAAGGCACTCAAAATAATGACTGGGGAAGAGCTGCCTCCTCAAAATAGAGTCAACCTTAATGACATGGATGTAGTAAAACTTTGGGGACCTTCATTTGCTGATGGGGCATGACTCAAAACAGAAAGGAAATTGATGGAATACTCATGGAGATATTTCAAGAAATTTGGAAGACAGCTACCTGGCCAATTGACTGGAAGAGTTTGATATTTGTGCCAGTTCCAAAGAAAAGTGGTCCAACAGAATGTGGAAATTATTTAACAATATCCTTAATATCACACACAAGTAAAATCTTGCTTAAAATACTTCAAAAATGGTTGCAGCAGTATATTGACAGGGAACTTCCAGAAATGAAAGCTGGATTCAGAAGACGAGATGGAACAAGGGATATTATAGCTGATGTCAGATGAATTTTAGCTGAAAGCAAAGAATACCAGAAAGATGTCTACCTGTGTTTCATTGACTGTGGCAGCCTGCTGGCTCAAGTCCGAAGAACTGGATCATAACAAATTTTGGATAACATTGAGAAGAATGGGAATCCCAGAACACTTAATTGTGCTCATGAGGAACCTGTACATAGACCAAGAGGCTCTCATTCGAACAAAGCAAGGGGATACTGCATGGTTTAAAATCAGGAAGGGTATACATCAGGATTGTATCCTTTCACCATAGTTATTAAATTTGTGTGCTGAGCAAATAATCTAGGAAGCTGGATTATGTGAAGAACGCAGCATCAGAATTGTAGGAAGACTCATTTACAACCTGCAATATGTAGATGACACAACCTTGCTTGCTGAAAATGAAAATGACTTGAAGCATTTACTGTTGATGATCATAGACTACAGCCTTCAGTATGGATTACTTCAACATAAAGAAAATGAAAATCCTCATAAATGGACCAATAAGCAACATCATGATAATATATTGAATATATATACATTATATACAGAATATATTGAAGTTGTCAAGGATTTCTTTTTGTTTAGATCAACAGTCAACACCCATGGAAGAAGCAGTCAGGAGATCAAACATTGTACTGCACTGGTGAAATCTGCTGCAAAAGACCTCTTTAAATTAAGAAGTAAAGATGTCACTTTGAAGACTAAGGTGTACCTGACATGCAATGGTATTTTCAATCATCTCATATTCATGTGAAAGCTAAACAATGAATCAGGAAGACCAAAGAAAAGTTGATC